GACCGATAACTGGAGACAAAAAGTGGATCTTTTAAGTGGTTCAGAAACAAAATCCCGGGGAAAACGCCAGGATCCACCGTTAACAACTCCAAAAGTCTTACATCTCAGGAAGGTCATGGTGTGCATTTGGTTGCGATTAAAAGAGCATCTTTGTTATTAACTGGCTCCGATAACCAATCCCGTAATTCTAATTTATAATGCCCACATTTAGAAGCGATTGAAGTCAGCAATTAATCAAAAACAACTGGCATTGGCTAATCGCAATGGGATTGTTTTTCAACTTGATCTCTCGCTCCCACGTATCTTTGCAGTCGCGCCAGAAATGGTGGGAGCTCGGTTAAGGTGTTAACTGTTCACACAAACTGTTTTCACCTGACATTGCCCTTTCAGATTTTCACTTATTCCGGGCTCTGCAAAACTCTATAAGTAACAACTTTAAATAAAAACTTTACTTCATTTGAGGACTGCAGAAAACACATCGAGAAGTTCACCGCTCAAAAGCAACCGTTCTATGAGGATGAAATTACAAAATTTCATGAAATACATCAACAATTAGAACAAAATAATACATATGTGTACTTATGTTTGTTTTTTTCAATGAATTATTCTATTTATCTAGGGTCTTGGTTTAGATGAAAAAGTTAGTGTCACGACCGGGATTCGAACCCACAACCTTCCGTTCATTACGCCGCTGCTTTAACCACTTGAGCTATCGTGACACTTTTTCATTTCAACCAAAACTTCAGATAAAAATAATAATTAATTTAAATAGCTAGTAAGGTTAATTATGACCGGTAAACAAAATTATGTCGACATTTTATAAAGAAATTCACGATTATTTTCTGGCTATGTTGAAGAACAAACAGTGGAGAGAGAGAAAAAAACAAGATTGATAAGAAAATAACTTGATTTATAGTGATGAAAATAATTGGAAATATTTTTGAACTAACTTAGAGAAAACAACTGAATTCTGTATAGCGTGCTAAAAAGTCCCTATTGTCTAAAGTCTGATTTTCAATTGTATTCGAGATATTTCACTTTTAAGGGTACTTCAACCTTTCATAACTAAAAACTAACCAACTTCCATAAAGCCACCGTATCTCATAAAAAAGGAATTCTACTGCAAATTAGATTACATCAATAGAAAGAGCAATAAAACGATATAAAATTCATTTTTTGTTGTAACCATAATCAAATAAAATACATTAGTTAAAAACTTTCAAATTTCCAAACTTTTTGGCTAATGTTTAAGTAGGATTTTTTTGCGTTGACCGAAAATTCCCTACTAATGAGCTATAAAAAACAGGCCGTTAATTTCTCAAAGGTAAGTTATCACGAGGAAAAATTAACGTTTAATTGCTAAAAATTTGATTTTTTGGGAACATATGGTTTAAAAATCATTTCACTGATTGATTTTGAAAATATAGGAAAAAACTATTTCTAAAAATTAAATTAAAATGCGATGACAGGCTTGCATTCTTCAAGAATACGGACATTTTGAACATTTGATTGAATTTTTTGAAGCTTGTTTTTTCTTATATTCGAAAAAAGTTTTGAAAGGTTGAAATAACCTAAAAAGTGAAATACTATGAATATGATTCATAACTAGACATTGGACAATAGGTACTTTTTAGTCCAATTTGGCCTGTCGAATGACCTCCTGAAGTCCTAGGGTCACCCTGTATAAAATACCTTTTTATATTTATGTTTATGTGTTGTAATTTTTAACAGTTATCACGTATATTAATACGAGACATTTTCTTATTATAAATACAGAAAATGGAAGTAGAATAAGTGCCTAAGATGGGAAAGAGAAATAAATGAGAGAGAGCAACTAAGAATCTTGTAAAGAGTATATATTAAATTCCTTTCTTATCAAATGCAACCCTTCACATTCCTCCCTTTTACTATCAAATGCGTTAAGTTGCACTTTATGCACGTGTGCAATACCAGGAAAGCCCTTCTATCGTTGCTTACGTCCCTGTTCCTTTTCTTATTTTCAAATGAATCTACTACTGACTTTCATCTTGTAAAAGACCCAACATTCCCTAATCGGTTTACTTCCAATTTTCTATTTCATTGTTGAGTAAGAAACAGTCTTCTTTATTAAAATTTATCACGAAATAAATATAAACATTACTTTTTTAATTACTGAAAAAATGTTGAACTTTGACTTTCTTGTCGGGAGTTAGGAGTTATAATTGTAGATTTTCGTTTTTCCTGCATGGGATGGAGTACATTTAAACTTGCTAGTACCGATGTTTAATGTTTTTAATCATATTTCTTATAGACTTCAAGACATATGACCAAAACACTACTTTATAGTATAAACGAAAAAATTGGGAAAATACATTACAACATGCATATTGTCTTAAATAATCATATTTAGAAGTCTTTATATAAATCATGGTGCTTTGTTTCTTAACGATTCTGTCACCGCTTCTGAATAATAATCAAATAAATGCGTATATTGTAGTAGCACTTCGCACCGTCACCGGGGAACTCATGCAAATTAAGAGATAAATAATGACACCGAAATGATAAGTCGTTCCTACCATAAATCACCGAATCTGTGAAAAGAAGAAAGTTTTCAACATTGACGATTTGCGTCGGAGAAAAAGTTTTGACAATAAAAGCGTGTCAACCTTTCATTTTCACTGCGGGGGTCAATCGGGGTCGGATCGGGATGCTTTTCCACGCAACCTTTCTATACGGGAGCACGCCACGGTGAAGGGGATTTAAGCTTTCCGTTCATTCTGAAAGCCGATGACACATTCTCACTGTGATAACATTGAGCTTTAACGACAACCGGGACTTGTGTACAGTCATAGTGTGTATGTTCGACAAGGTTGGAGGAAAGACAGGGACGGTAAGAACAAAATACTGAGGAAAATGACATATTTTTTGGGGGTGAAAAATTTATATTTTAAAATGATCCTTTACAAACCTGACAGAGTTTAACTTTCTAATTAGCCTTATTTTCCGTTCTTCTGAAAATGTCAAAGAGTTATTATTTCTGTTAATCGTTTGAACCGTTGAACATCATGATCCGACGTACTGATACGAACTTTAATCAATATTATTAGTCAATATCTACTGATGGCGGCTTTATGCCGAAACGCGTCGGGCATCAATCTACAAGGCGGATGAGATCAGAGATGACAGTAATGATCAAACAACCCAAAGAGCTCTCTGCCTTCAGCAATCTACAAATTATTACCATCTGCAAAGCCGCCCACTTCACCAAATTCGGAGTCAAGATTGATCGTATAATTAAGGGTAAGTTAAGACGATACTAAGGGTATAGTAACAACGGCCAATTTCGTCCACTGTTTCTTCAATTTATTCAAATTGAACGGGTATGGCAAATATAATTTAAAAATTTCAACAACCCAAGCTTTTCTAACGGTATATTGAACTGTGAAGTTCGCCTGGGTCATCTTCCATTTGATATACCGTTGTGTACAGTCAACATGGCGAGGATAGGATTCGCTAGACCAAAGATTATTCTGACAAAAGAGATTAAGAGTAACTACAAGATGCTCGACAGTTTCTGAAAGTAATTTTTTTAATCTATTCAATAAATCAACAAATTTCAAAAAGCTGATTTAATAAGATAGTTCCTACTCACAGAAAGTACTTACTTTGAATAGGGGCTATCTTTTTAAAGAGATGGAACAACACACTCACTCCACCATTTATCTTTTCTAGCTGAAATAATATGGTCAATTTCACAAGACATGATGCAACCGTCTTGTCAATTTTTCAACTACTATCGAATTTCAGTTTTACGAAGAATACAACAACAAAACCTTCTCACTGAAAGAAAGAACGAATGGAGAAAGCTGGACCCAAATCCGGCCATTGCATCCCATTACCGGTGTTATGTGAGTGTATCCTAAGACCTTGCAACGAATATTAATAAGCCTTTCGACCAACGGGTTACATCAGGTCCTTTTGCGGGGGTGCTGTCTCTTCAAACAACCGGGACGATCTTCCATTCTTTATCCGCCTATTAATATTTATTGGTCGAAATCGAAAGGTCGGATTGTCGCAATTTCCCATTCATTAGGACGTCAAAAAGAAAAGAACAATGGTTATTTATAATAGTTAAACAAGGTTTGCCGATATCCGGTTTGTTTTGTAACAGGCGGAACTGTGTAAACTTTTCATAAAGAGATTGCATAAAAAACATAATTAATTTAATGTATGTGTAGTAAAAAACCATATTAAGTTAACTAAGAACTAATTAATCCATAATCCGGTTATATCGAAGGAATCATTTGATCCAATAGCAAAATGGGTTAATATCTTAAACTTACTGCCAGCCTTTTGCTTTATAAAGGAAGATAAAACTACTTATTTTAGAAAATAAAGATAGATTCCCTCTAGCAAAATATAAAATTCGTTTAAGCACAGTAAACATTTAATAATAACAAACTTAAACGTAATTAACATTTTGCAATAAGCGGATGGTAAATTTGTATTTTCTCTAAAGAGTCAGCAGTCAAAGGTCACACCACCTTTCTAGACGGAAGCACGGAAAGTGTTTTAAGGCTTAACTTTCAGCTTGAAACAAGGAGTCAACCTTGTCCTTTTCTTTTTTGACAAGAAGATGGGTCTCTTTCAAAACCGATTTCATTTAATTCCCTTCCATTCCAATATATTATCAATAAAATCAATAAATTTTAAATTTAATTTTTTATAATATTTATGAGGGGACAAAATTATTTGTTTTTATTTTTAAATGTTTATGTTTAACGTTATTATTCATATATGGTACTATTTGTAAGTTTATTTGTTATATTTAATTGTATGTAATAACCGCCAAGTCATAGTCTAGTTTATGTTACCAATTTATGAATAAACAAATTAAAATTCAATTATGAATTCGAAGTAAATTATTATTTTTACAAAACAACTGACAAGGTTACTATACAGATGCAGAAAAAACTTTTTAATTTAGTTTGAAACACTAGAGCAAGAAATAATCGACTAACCTTTTTTCCTTTCTGAAGAATCCAAAAAATACACCGTGCCAAAATAAAATACACATTTTGTATTAAACACCAAATTTTTTCATGAAAGGGCGTCTGAAAAGAAGAGTTTATTCCAGAAGTTAGTTGTGTACTTAAAATGAAATACATCTTCTCCACCATACTAAATAAAACATTTTGCTTTACTTGTTTATGTACCATTTAAGCTCAAATGTTTTTATAAGAAAGCAAGGTAAGTGTTTTAACGTCACTTTCAAAGATGTAAAGACAGGCAGTCGAATTTCTCAATCCTGTCTTCAAAAATAAACTATTATATTTCTAGTCAATTTATATGCCCTCTTCAAGTTCTATATATAGAAGAAATCAATGTACTGATCCAGAATAGCGTTTAAGGATTTCCTAAGATGAGGATCTAGGAGAATACAATCAGATTAGTGTGGAAAAAAGGCGCTTCTACAATCCTTTTGACCGTTGTGATAGGCATCGTTTGAGGTCTGTAATCAAAAATACGCCACGAGCCTTGACCGACCCAGATTTATGAAGTTGTTCTTCACTACATTCCCCCCTCCGTCGGATTATCTGGGTTTAATAATTTTTTGCCCATGGTGCAAAAAGATCCACCGATGTGGGCAGCAGGAAGGCATTCTTTATTGTTTTATATCGTGGTAAAAGATTTCTTGACCTTTTCCATTACAACGGGATCCGGGGCTCGGGTTTCAGGGAACATTAAAACTGATTTTCATTTCTCGATTTAATCAACCAACATCTTTTTCGAGTAAAAACAATAAAATATGTGTTATACCCCACCCCTGTTTTCACGAACTCATTCATCTTATTAAAATTATTTTAAGTTTTAGATATTTCGACCACATTTTCACTCACGAATAATCTGGATCACAGTATGGTCTTGATGAAAAAGCAAATTAATTGTTACCGCCAAGCTTTCGGCCTATTAAATACTATTACAGTCCTTGGCAATGTTGGGACTGAGTCCGTCTTCAAAGAAATTTGAAATCGTCAATTAAAAACTTAATTTTGTTCATTTGTAGACATATTTAATATTATTCAGAAATCGTGAAATGCGGTCTGGTGTCACGATTTCTGAATAATTATCGATTAACGGTCACTAATCACCACACATATTTAATATTGTTTTTGTCCTGATGAATACCAAAAAAATAGGGCAAAAACAGGGCTCTAACAACTGAATTTGCGTTTTGATCAAGACCATACCGTGATTCAGTGTATTCGGGACTATTCAAATATATGTTGTATATGCAATATAATGTATTGTACTGTATGTACACTATATATATTGTATGTGTATGTATTGTATACTGTATACTATATACAATATATATGTTTATAAATATAATATATATACCAGTTAAACTAATATTTTAAGCACGTACTTTCACACAGTAAAGAAAGAAGAACAGAAAGAAGGGAATATATATAGTTTAATTGGTATATACATTATATTATATCTATAAACATATATATTGTATACAGTGTGCAGTATACAATACATACACTATACTGTATGACACACAATACATACACTATATACAATAAAGGTTCTAAGGTTTATAAATATAATATAATGTATATACAATGTATATACCAGTTAAACTAATATTTGAAGCACGTACTTTCACACTGTAAAGAAAGAATAACAGAAAGAAGGGAATATATATAGGGGGAGTGAGAGAGATATGAAAAAAAGAGACAGAGAGAAATGGATAGAAAGATTGAAAAATAGTTAAATAGAAAGACGGGCAGAGAGAAAAAAATGGGGAGGAAAAAGGAAAGGAGAAATAGATAAATAAAAAATAGAGAATAAGAAGAAAAAGTTAAATAAAAAGAATGATATAAAGGAAAGAGAGATCGGTTGATAGATGTGAAACTCACTGACATACAGATATCAGAAAGAGATACATAGAAATAAATCAATACATAGAGAGAGAGAGAGAGAGAGAGAGAGAGAGAGAGAGAGAGAGAGAGCGCTGAAATTGAGAGAATTTGTCTGAAATTTCTTCTGTAAATGATATTACATTTTTAAAATTATTATTTCTTAATCTTATAAACAATTTTTTTTAAACCTAAAGTGACGAAATGATGAACGCATCTTGCCGATTAACAAACAAAAATAGAGAGAACCAGGGAAATCAAAATCAGGGATGATGAAAATGCCACAAAAAGAAACATAAACAAATTAGAACCGTACTGTCAATATTTCTCAACCTCACGTTTGGTATTGATGTCAACAGTAGGAAAACGTCAAAAATAATCTGTCTAACTTAAATCACGCAATCAAAATGTATTTTACTATTTGGAAAAACTTTATTTAAAAACATATAATTAAAATTGTGCAATGCTTTAGGATGGAATAATTCCGTTTGAATCGTATAAAAATATTTTTTTGAGGTTTGCTCATTGATTTGGTTCAGATATGTTGTATTACGGAAGCGACAGGACTTGTGAAAACTTGCGGTCTTTTTTTTCCTGAATGGATGAACCATGATTTAATAAACTTGCGAGCAATTTTCTTTTCTAATAAGAAAAAAATTGCATCAACGGGGATAAAATTCCCGTTTACCTTATGAAACACCGTTTTTCACGTTCGTTTCGACGGTTACTCCTCAATCTCGGTCAGGTTTTGCGGTTTGACCCGTTTACATCATTTTCCACCATCTTCCCATTAAAAAAACTTAAGGAATTCCAACAATTTCTGGACAGCAAGACTTAGGAGTATGCGGAAAAACGGAAGTTGTAGCAAAATTATCTATGCATTTTCACCACGGGTCAAAAAATATATTTTAAATGAATTCTGAGAAAAATATGGACACACAAGGAGAAAAATGAGATGGATTCATCATTATTCTTAATAGGTCAAATGTTTGTTTTAAGTTCAAAAGCTTCCTTCACAATGGTACAAACATTGGACAGAATATATCGTTGTAGAATAGAAAATACATTCAACTGGTGCGAGATCATTAATATTAAAAATTAAAGTAGAAATAACATTCATCCAACGGTTGGAATTATTCATCTTTCATTTCATGTGCGTTATGCTTTAATCTTAGTTGGGCCAACCTTTTCCTAATTTGGTCATTGTCGATCATTTCTTCTTTCATCGTCTAGCTTTCTTAGTAGTTTTTCCAATAGACTGGTTTTGGCTTCTCGCCTTCCAATAACTCCACTCCAAACAGATTTGACAGACAAAAACAGCGAAGGTATGTAGCATTTGGCCAGTGTCTCGCTTCTATCTGCTTATTACCCTGATTCATCACTGATAACGAAATTAAAAACAAAAACAGCGGCGGCGACTAAACTACAAGATTATTAACTAGCAGACATCAAAAGGAAATTTCACAATCTATTATCACCTGCCAATATATCCAAATTTACATTCTGAGTATGTGTGCTAATTAAACAAATTATATTTTGAGTTGTCTACATTCTCCATTTTGTTAAATATTTGTGGTTTTTCACATATTTTAATAACATATCTTCTTCTTTTTTTATATTTGGATAGTAAGAGTTTAGCACATTTAATCTATTATAGTCCATAGTGACTATTTTGTAATAATGTATGAAGATTATAAATCCAAATTGTTTTAATAGATCCAGATTGATTTAATAGATCTAGGCATTTCTGAAGAGTAGCGAAAAAACTTCAATTTTCAAGTAAAACCTCTGTGTTTTATTATTTTTAGTGTATTATATATTTGCTTATCTCTATTGTTCTGGGAAATGGGCCTACTTCCAATCCTAACAATGATGAATGAAACGGCCAGAACAGCACTAAATAATAGCGGTTTGTATTAAATTTAACTTCTCTTTTATAACATTATTGGCCTTACCGTGAGTTCTAATCTTTTGTTTAAAACAACCCATTATAGAAAGCAGTTAAATAAGTTTATTTTCCGTTATTTGAACAAGTTTATCAAAATTATAAGTATTTACACGTCGCGTTACATACTTGCAGGAAATAAACCATCGCGGACAAATTACTCTGGTGCAATACATTGTGAAATCGATCCGTTTGCGGAAATTGATCCACCAAAAGGGGAGTCGTTGAGTGTCAACAGCGGTCGTCACGGTGTAAACATCGATTTTGCAAGTTTTTCACTCTGTTGAGCAAACACAGACCGTTGAGAAGGATCAGAAGCCGAGTTAATGAGACACCGGTGAAATGGCAGAGCGAGAGAGACCAGCTGAGTTTCGATCTTCCCAGGAAGCGAACCGGATAAAGAGTTCATTTTACAAAAATTTTGTCAATTGTTCAACATCCTGCAAAGGTTGAACTCCTCCGCTTCGAATGAGAGGAGAAATTCTAACGGGATAAAAAGGCGAAGATCCACCTTCGCACTAATCGGCCTATTAATGAACGCCCGAAATTCTGGCTTTTATGATCATTTATTCAAGTTGATACGTAAAAAGTCTTCCAAATCAGTCTCAAGGAGGATGAGTAGTAAACAATTGAACAAAATGATTAAATAAATGGAATTAGTCTTTGAATAATTGGCCAATCGAGGAAAAAACAAAAAAGGTCTAAAATATGTTTTATATCATAAAATTTTAAAGGTAAATTTGGTCTGATTGTTCTTATATTTTGTATATTGGTTGGAAGAATTATTCTAGATTTTCTGGTCCGCCTATTCTCGCTCAGCGTTTCGACGAGTTATAAAAATATTTGTTGTTACCACCCTTTTCAGACAAAAGATAATTGCTAGTTTATAACAAGACGATTGTAGTTTTCAACTAGAATTTAACTGAACGAAATACAAAGCAAGAAAAGATGGACCAGATTCCAATAATGCCGCCTTGACAGATACTTATAGAGCTTTCCGTTGTTTCAGTTATCAATAATAAAAACCATCATATTTTTATTTATTTTTAACGAGGGAGGCAACAGCACAGGTCATATCAACCCTCAGGGTGGCACTGTTTTTAAAAAAAATTTCATTTGAAAGTATGTCGGGTTCGAATGCAGGGCCGCTGGATTCGAACCCGGGACCTTTACGTTACCGTGATGAGCTCCGTGTCAACGCCTAAACCGACGCCCCTTTTCCAGACCTATTATTGATTTA